AGATATTATGTCAAAACAAATGCGACAACTTCAACCACAAGCGGTAAGGCTGTAAAAATATGTTTGCTTTAACACAGCCACCAAGCCTAGCGCTATAGCCAATACGCTGTTTTTAGCATATTTCAAGCCGCGCAAGCACTGCTTTTCGGTATGCGCGCGACACTCCATAATTTTTTAATGAACCATGTTTAAATTAATTGCTTCATTTACTACCGCGATAGCGCATAAAATGCTTGGAGAACAGTGCTCTGCCTTCCATGTTCACAACCGTGTTGAAGTGCGCCTGAAAGTTGACAACGCACCTGCGCTTGCTTTCATTATTCTTCGTTTTATTGCGGTCGAGGCAGATTTTTGCATTTAATGCGGTCTACTTTAACCGCTGCTTGCAGGTAACGCATGACTGTCTACATGACAGTCGTTGAAAACGCTGAAAGCGCTGCGTGCAAATATAAAACAGAAAATCCAATGGCAGCGCCATCCATTGGCCGTTGTTCGTAAAGGAGTTGAAAAGCGTGGAAAGTTGGCGAAAAGCAGTCACTCGGCGCGTTTTAATGCAATTTTATTGCTTTTTAAGTGCAAGTCAAATGATTTTCACAGCAGCCTTCCTTGCGCTTATTTCGGTTTTTCGCACATTTCCAACGTAAATCCAGTGGCGCGAGTAGTAGCGGAGTGGCTGACCGATACCACCACTGTTTTTCTTAACCAAAATATGGAAATTAATTTCTTTCATTATAGAGTACTTAAAAATATTTTTAATTATTCGCCATAAAGACGCAGTGAATAAATAAGCGGCGTATAGCAGTGCAAATGCCATTTAAGTAGACAAAGTGTGGCGTAGCTTCGATAAAATCTGGTGGAGTGCTTAAAATATGTTGAACTTCTGGCGGGGGCATAAGAGAAAATTAAATGGAAATTAAGCATAATGAAAATCAAGTGACATTGATGGCATTCATGGTAAGTTTGAGTGCTTTTAAGCGGAGCGCGTAGCGTTATGGGAAGCTGGCTGCATACAATGTGCGTTAAGTTTCAAGAAAAAAGTGGAATATGTTCTAAAGTTCGCAAAGTTAAGCTTAAAAGATCTTTTAGGGGAAAAAGTGGTAAGGGCGGAGCGGCTGTAGGTGAGAAGATCCCATCAAAGTTTGCAGTTACCCGCGTACCGGCTGACGCGCAGCGAAAATCAGTTAAGCTAAGCTTTTTAAGTTAAATAAGTGTGAAATAAACGCACTGTTCATGTTTAAAGCTCAGAATATACAAACTCAGTTGCCTCAGTTACTTGGCTTACCAGGTCGCCAAGCTTAGCCCTGGCCGTCGTTTCTCTGCACAGAGACCATCAAGGCAGATATGGTAGGAATGTACTTGCTGAAGAAGAGAGACGATAAGCTTTTCACGGAGTTATCAAAGCTTGCGGAGACGGTTGGTGGAGCAGTACGCTGTCGGTAACTATCGATCAACTCCGGTTTTAGGCTACCTGACCGTTGCAGTGTCTCCTAAACGGTAGCAGCAGTCAACCATAAAGATAGCAGTAGATCTACTGCTCCGGAGCGCAGTCTTCTTGTGAGTCTCCGATAGCAGAGCGGTGATATTAGTCTTGAGCTCGCTGACTGTACGCTTAAGACTTGTGAGGAAATGTCTCCTTTTCGCAAGCATCGATTTACTGCATGATTAGACTGGTTTGAGTGGCCGACCACAGCGGTATTGCAAGAAATTGAAAGGTTGTTGAGCTTGTCAAGTCAGATACTACAGTCGCACTAGCTGCAGAAAGGGAATGTGTAGGAGCTTAGTTGTCTTCTTGCGGTTTACTAATGGATGGTCGGGCCTCAGAACAGCTCAGCAAGTGTGGGTCAACTACTAGCTACTGTACAGTCGCAAAGTCCTTTTGGCTAAGGGTAAATCGTAAGAGGTCTAGTGATGCATGCGCTCTCAGCAAAGTACACTTTTTAATGGTTGTGGCAGTTCTTACTATTAGACACTGTCCGTTCAAGATTAATGGTGTAAGATAGAACATTATACCGGATTTAACAACACTGCCCACTCGAATGACCCGCATTTATCAGATCAAGGCTCGAATCTGCTACTCTAAGACATGCAGTTAAAATAGCGGAAATAGAAATAAAGCAGCTAAGCAGATTTGTGATAGATTCAAAACGTTTTGTCGATAGCTGATATTTGACTACAGCAGTTTTTTCTGGCTTCACAAATAACTGTACATAGCAGTCTCTGCCCTAACCTGCCCACAATTTTCGAGGAATGAATTTAAAAACATTTTGAACTAAATTTGCTATTTTCCACGGAAAATAAAAACCAAACACCGCAAAACAATGCAAACAACTGAAAAGTAAGCTAAGCACAGCTTTTCATCAAACAATTGCCTGCTTCTACTATTGTTGCAAATACATAACTGCTTAGTAATTTGCGGGCTTATATAGCGATTAAGGCACACGCACATCTAAACGCGCCCACATCTATACGTGCCACGAAAAAAACGCCCACTTTCAGCCTAGTTGCTGGCCAAATATGCTGATATGCTGTAATAAGTCTGCTTTTATATGTGTGTATGCGTGTGTGTGTGAATATTTTATCAGCGCGCCACTGCTTGAAGTGTGTACACGCATGTAGCCTAACGGCAAATATACGAGCTACTACCAACTAACGCTGCTAAACGCTACATTCAGTTATTTGAAAAGCATACATTTAGGCGCCAAAGCGTTGCACAGCAGCAGGAAGTAATAACTTGCCGACATTATTGCGCTGTTTGATTGTGTGTGTGTTCGTATGCCGCTGCTGCGCTGCCCACAAAAATAGCGGCGCGCTTGCCACCACTTTCTGCTCCTACCGCGCCTTGCTCTCCTTTGGCTTTTGACGCGCGTTTCCTTCCATTTTTACCTACTTGCCATATGCTTTTTATTTATACATTTTTTCAGTTGTTTTTTTTCCTTCCACACAACCTCTATTGATGTCATTTACCTTTACTAATACTACAGTGAGGCGCGCGCACACAGACACACACCGCAAGTCATATCAAAATGTATTACACATTTAGACAAGCGCAGGCCCCATTCTTCGTGCTCATTTACAAAAAAACATTTACTGGCAAAGCGCTGTAAGCCAGCCATGTTAAGTAACGAGGACAGCTGTGACGCAACAACAACAACTACTACTATTTATACGAACTACAAAGCACAACGTCATCATCAGGCAGCTAGTGAAATTTATATGCAAAGCGCTATGTGTTGGTTGCTTTGTGCGCGCCTAAAAGTATGCAAAGCTGCATGGCAAAGAGGCCGTTGGCGGCGTCGCGTCGCCGCTAACTTTACTTTACTGCCTACACTAGCGCTGCTGTCACAATTTTCCTACTTTTTATACCCTGTCATTCTTTGTCGCTTTTCGTTTCTGCTTACATGGCCGTTTGACGTCGCTGTCGACAGTCGGCGGGTGGGCGGTTGGTCGGCACTCAACAAAGTCATTCGTGTTAGTTTAGCAGCTTACTGCCTACTTTCTTATGCACTTTCAATTGAGCAGCTAGATACGCGCGCGTGTGTGTGCGCTTTATTTTCGGCCGCGCCTAAAATGATGAAATGCTGTCGGCGTTAATAGAAATTCTTTTTGAACTTTGCATGAAATGTAATAAGAGTGAAATGAAATAAAATAATGAAAAGCGTTAGGGCAAATGATGTGCGGCGCACGGTGGAAACAAAGTTGAAAGAATTATGCTGCAACCCTTTGCTGTCGCGCATGATAAGCAGCTAATGCTGCCTACATTTAGGCGCAAGCGAAAGTTTTATACATTTTTACGCTATTTAGACGTAAAGCCAAAAACAGCAAATCAAATTCGTAGGCTAAATTCAATTTTCGAAATGCATGGCAGAAATTGATTTGCTCCATTTGCAGCGACTGCGCCTGCATGTAGGCCACGTTTGCAAATCTAAAACATTTGGAGTTAAAGCGAGATTTGCAGCTCTTGCTGATTTATATACATGTATTATTTGATAAATTCGCTGTTTATGTTTTATGAGTCAAGCAACTCACACACGAAACTCGAAATATTAATGCCACGCAGTTTGTGTCGAATATTTGTTTACGTCTTCCCCTGCTTTTTTGTTTGTGCACCGTTAAGCAAACATTTTTATAAGCGTTACATTTGTAATACTGACACCTGCTATTTATTACACATATTAATTTATTTTCTTTTTACGCCGCCTTTCACACTCAATTTGCGTATGCAGAGAAAAGAGTGGAGTGCGGACGAATGTTAATATACGTAAGATAGTTCAGTTGCTTCATCAATTCGCGACAATATGTGCATTACTTTTCTATTTTTTCTTACGTAATTTGAACCACTTGCTCTGCCCCTTTGCAGCTCTTTACGGCATATCTTTCTCATATCCGAAATTACTTTGTAAAAACATTCAATATCTTCGCCTTAGACGAGCTTCCTCAGCGCACTAATCCATTTGCTACTTTTTCGAACACACTTTAATCAACATTTTTTCAATTATTCTTTGCCAGCGCACAAAATAATCAAAGAAAATGAGAAAGAAGAGCAATTAAATTCCTGTATATCAATTTCTACCGCGCCGTTCTGAGCCTGCCTGCCATAACAAATGGCTGGCAAGTTACTCAAGTTAATGCTGCCAACAACACGCTATGCCAATATTAAATTGATTTCAGTAGCACACTAACAAAAGCGGCTGGACACGTATGTGTGCGGCCACAGGACAGCAGGGCAGCAGGAGGTGAACTGCGCAAGTTATAAATGCAATAATAATTTCATTAAATCCACAATATACTAAGCGCTGAAGAGCCAACTTATTTTTACATGCTTTATTTATAAAGAAAATAATAATAAAATAGCGTAAGCGACAGAGTTGAAGAAACTTTGCTGTGCAGTTGTGAGCAAATGTGTGCTCTACTACGTAGATTATTGGAAATTTTTATGTGGTGTGTAATAATAGAAAATGGTATAAGAATAAATGAAATAAATGCGGTTTATTTTTATTCACTGTAAATATATATAGACTATATTTTAGTTTTCTGACAGCGCAAATTTTATATTTTATTATTTTTTATTAAAAATATAGTGTGAACAGCGTCTTATTATGTGTTATCCAACACAGTTGCTGGTTATCGACTTTTGTTATTAAATGTTGGCTTTTAATATTTACTTTCATTACTACGCATTTAATATTTTTGTGCAATGAGCGCATTAAACTTTATAACACAATTTATATTGAAGATTATATGTATGTATGTATGTATGTTTATGCATTTTCTATTATATTTAAAGTTGTCTGGAGTTCGGCGCCCACTTTCAACTCAACTCGCTATGCGTATTGATGCGCTTGCATTGTCTACAATTGAATTGTATTGTACTTGCGGCACTCACGTTTAATTTAATCGCCACATTTGTAAACTTCGATATCTATATAAGCGCATGAATAAGTAAGACGAGCGCTTTCAGTGTTACTTTACACCTAAATATTTTATACAACTAACACCTTAACTTCTTCTATCCATATTGCAGCACTTCGGTCGCAATCAACACTTGGCAAACAAACAAATGCGCTGAAAACTTTATGCAACTCCTTGTAGAGCACAGCCAGCAGTGACAACAATAAATATAACAACAAATATAGTGTAGTGTACAAAGAAAAAACACAATGTGAGCAAGAAAAATCGAAAAGTAATATTGAAGCAGTAAAACATTTTAATGAAGAAATAAACTTCATGTTGTGAAACTTATTTTTCCTTACCATTTTCATTTGCAGCAGTTTTTCTATATACATATGTATGTGAGGACGTTCACAGTATATGAGAACTACAAAAAACAACCATAGTAAATAGACAGCTTGTAATTCGACACAAGCTTTGCAGCCACCTTTAAAACAGCGCACTAAGTTTGTCTGTCGCTTGTCATTATATATTGCTTTCTACAAATTATATAAGTGTGTGCGTGTGTTTGGGCTGTTGTAGCATCCTGTGAGTTCTGTATGTCGTGTGTGTGTGTGCCATGTGCAGAACTTTTCAAATTGATTTCATTAATTTGTTCACACATCTTGTTGCCAGTTCCTTCCGAGTTGCGCATTTTTCTCACACTCCCCATTTGTGCGCTATATATTTAACGCGTGGTGTGCAAACTTTTCCAGTTGCGACACTTTTATTTCTTTTTTATTGGTTTTTATTTTTAAATGTTAGAATTAAGTGTGCAGAAATAGAAGCTGAAAACATACTTTAGCCGCTGATAAAATAGAACGGCGTATATTTGCAAAGAAAGCAACTCCTTGCGCTAACAAATAAACTATTTTAAGAAGATTCAAAGTACATAGCGTGGAGTAAAATGTTTTCGAAACAGAAAGCAGTTTTCAGTGAAAACTGCGTGAATTCAACTCTGATTCTTTACAAAAACTCAAATTTCGTCCAATAACCCCCATATAATTTCTTACTTTTTTATGTTGCCTACATTTAGGTGCTACATAAAATTTCTCTAATGAACAGTAATTAATGCAGCGTCTCCATTAACGGTGGCACATGCGGCAAACTTTAAGTGCTGCCAATTAAGCGCTAATCGTGCGTGAAATTTAATTTGATTTCCGTTTAGGAAGCGCAAATACAACTATTTTACAGTAATTGCATTATTTGGTACTAAAGTACTGATCTAAAACTTTTGAAGTATACTTTTAGGTGCTCATAGTTAATGATGCATTGATTTATAAGTGCAGACCAAATTAAAGCGTTTTGAAAGTGTGTGCAGAAATGTTTGTGAAAAAAATTTTGAAGTATACTTTCAGGCACCAACTACTTGTTTAGATTACACTTATACATTATAAAAAATGTTTTTACTGCGGTATTCTGGCAATAGTCGGTGAGTATAATGGATTCTAACAAAGTCAGTGTACTATTTAAGCCTTATTAAGGCAAAAGCAAAGAAATGAAAGAAATAAAAAAAAATGCTATGGCTCAGCTTATTAGGTCTATAAATATTATATAAATCAGGAATATTTTTCATAGCTAAGCATTGTTGCCACAAAACTTGAGATGAGACAACAGCACTGCGAAAGTGAAGCTAGACCCATATTTTTTATCAATAAGCTGCTTAGTCACATGAAATAAATTTTTTCCTTCTTACTTTCGCATATTTTATCGACTTCCATTACAATTCGACATTTTTTTTACTATATTTTGCTTTACTTGACACCGCCTACCTTAAGTCCACACACTGAAACACATACCGACGGCCCTAATGCATAAATTCCAACAGCTGAAGTGTCACCGCAAAAGCAATAATTAACACAGATTTCTATTTTATTGACACATAACACAACAATAATAACAACCAGCATGAGCGGCACGAAAACCAATGTATGTTTAGCATACACTTAAGTGCTTAAATCAGCCTAATACTACTACAACAACAATAACAGCTATAAAATCAACAACACTGCCACCTGCCAAACTGGCAGGCATTAAATTATGTTGACAAGATTCGGCAGCTTGTTAAGCGAAATTCCCAACACGCCTATTCGTCAGGCAGTCTGGCAGCCATTTAGTACGACAGGCGAACGAGTAACGCTTATAATGATAAATTAAATGGCATTTAATGCAAATGCGAAAGCACCGTAATGTGTGTGTGTGTGCGTATGTGCGCAGGGGCGTGTGTAGAATGCGAGACAGCAGTGTGGTCTAACCTCAACAGAACTGTGAGCACATAACCATTGAATTGACGAAATGCCAAAGGATAAGCAGGCATGCAGGCGCTGAAATATGCATGAAGCGACATGTGAAGACAAGGCAAATGTGTGAGAGTGATGGGGCAAACTCGCGTTTTGATTAGGTCAGAGCGAGTGCGAGGGCTTACGTACGTTGCAGGGTGGTGCAAGGGCAATTAAAATTACTGTTTTCTCAATACTTGGAATCGGTAAATTGAAAGCATAATTGTATGCAGAATTTTTAGCACAAGGCTTTCGTTGCTATTTTCTGAACACTATCTTAAATGCAGCACACCTCAAACAATCGTAGACACAAAAGAGAAAAAGCAAAGCAAAATACAACAGCAGCACCGCACTATGCGCTTTAAGCTGTCACTTAACGGGTTGAAAGGCTTTTACTTAAGTTGGCATGGCGGCAGGAAAGACGGCTCCCGCAACGCCTCAATTCAACTAACCCACATGAACTAAGCACAAGCGCAGAACTACACGACCTACCCGAGATCCAATTAAAAATTTAATTGGCACTGAGGAGAGACGCGCTGTGCCGTTACACAGCAGGCCAAAACTAGGTTATTCCAATGTTAAAGTGAGGGCGAAACAGGGAGCTTGTTGTAACATAGCAGCGTTGGCGGAGACGACAATATATAAATGCATTAGAGAGCTTAGTTGAATTGTAAGCACAAGCATATATATAAACTAACGCAACTTACAGTTACTAAGTAATTTATTGGCGTAACTTGGACGAAAATTGTTGTGTTTGTTGTTAATAAAATGTTGCTAAAAACCTGCCATATTTATATGTATAAATATAAATAAACAATATAAAGTTATTTGCTTTGTAGACTCACCACTTGCGTCCTGCTGCGTTGCTACTGCTTGTTGTTGCTGCTGCTGGTGTTGATGCTGATGCTGTGCTTGATGATGATGTATGTTGGGCGCGCAAAAGGCGCTCGCACCGCCACCCGCTGTCATGGAGAGCGTGGAATGTGGCGGTGGCAGCAGGCCACTAGGCGCTGTCTGCTGATGCGGCGGTCCAGTTGCTGGCGCATAGACGCTGGAGCGATAAGTTGGTGGTGGCGATACCACATCACAACGCACTGGTCCAACCACGCTTGCTGCGGTCGGTGGTGGTGGCGGCGGTCCGTAATGTGACGGTGGCGGTGGTTGATAGTGATGTGGTGGCGGTGGTGGTGGACCACCAGCTGTGGGTGGCGGCCCAGCATGCATGCCATGCTCACCGCCTACTTGTGGATATTGATGCGCATGTGCGTGCGCATATTGATGCTGATGATGTACATGCATGCCGGCCGCAGCGGCGGCGGCTGCAGCTGGTGACATATGATGTGCATGATAGGCAGCTGCTGCAGCAGCAGCGGCCGCTGCATATGAGGGCGGTGGCGGACCATGTTCAGGCGCGCCATGCTCGGGATGTAATCCTAAATCGCTGGCGTGATACATGCCAGCTCCGCTAAGTGCTTCAGGTAAGGTGGTGCCGACTGCAGTGGGCGGCGGTGGTGGTGGCGGTGACACTTGCGCTATGTGGATCGGGTAGAGAAAAATTGTTAACAATCTCAAATAAAAGCATAAAAACTCTTATAACTTACCGTCACTCATGGCGCCACCTGTTGACGCACCTGGCGGTAGCATGCTAGAGAGCGCGCTCAATGGCGTGTAAGATTTTGGTGGATCTACCGAACTGGGACGCAACAATCGCTCCTCGGTAACACTGGATTGCACACGATATTGCATTTTACAGTACGCCTCCTGACTTGAACCCGTTGTGGAGTTCACATACACACCCGTGATAGTTACGTCGGTATCCTGTACGATAACTACGCTGGATGAGGTCGGTCGACTGGAGTCTTTAGCGTCCTTGGTGCTGCCCGAATCACGAAACCCGGCTGTGGTAGTTGTATCTGTATTTGTCTCTTTGGTTTCTTTTGAATATTTGGAGTCGTTGCTCTCTTCATTCAAGTTCAACGGCCTTGACTCTCTGGCAGTGCCGCTGGCAGTAGACGCATTCGAACTATTGGCTGTAGCAGTAGTATTAGCAGTGCCTTCTCCAGTATCTTTTGTATTCAAAGTCTCATCGGATGTCACTGTGGCTGTGGACGTTTTCTTAGCGTCCTTTGCCACATCCTTGGATTTTTTAGCCGGCGTAGAAGTTTTTTCCTCACCATCGGTACTGTCGTAGCTGCCGTAGGCTAGATTTTTATCAAGATGACGTTCTACCTCGTAAGTGGCCGCAACTATGGCACTGGCGTTCAAACTCGCCATGCGTTTGCGTGCCAAAATGCCCTTGTAATCGCCAATTAGTTCTTCACGTAACATGCGCTTGCGCTTTTTTGGCGGTTTTCGCGCTTCTAGTTTTGCCTTTTGTACCTTCGATTTCTCTTTATCCTGCGTTTTGTCGTCATTATCGCTTGCGTCAGTGTTTTCGCCACCATCGGAACTATCGGTCTTCAATTTAACTATCTTCTTCAGTGGTTTCTTAATCTTCGTATATTTGCGCTTCACCCTGATAGTATCTTTTTCCTTAGTATCCTTTTCTTTGTCTTCTTTAGCTTTGGAAATTTTGCTACCCGAGGCCTCTTCCTCTTTTCTTTCCTTTTCTCTCAATTTCTCTGCTTCCTTTTCTTTCTTGTTCGCCAACTTTTTCTGTAATTTCTTGCGCTTCAATTTCATTTTGTCTATCTCCTCATCTTCGCTATCACCACTCTCCTCGAATTCCCAATGCTTACCGAGTCCACGACCGCCCGGTACATGACGCAATTCTCGCTTTGGTTCCACCTCTTGTGGTTCATCTTCTGATTCGGCTTTTTGTGGCTCATCGGCTTTGGTGGCTTCCTCGCTCTTTTTATCCTTTTTTGATTTGCCTTTATCATCCGTATCTTTTTCCTTATCCTTATCCTTCTCTTTATCTTTGTCCTTCTCTTTATCTTTGTCCTTCTCATCTTCACTTCCATCCACTGTGCGTATCTTGGGTGGAAGCTGTGTTGCTTTTGACAGGCCTAACTCATACGCCGTACGTGATTCGTTCTCATAGAGACACTGCACCTTGGCCAATGCATTCAGTGAAGCCATGCGATGGCGTTTAGGGCCAAAATCGATTAGCTTCTTCTCATCTTCCGAGTCGCTGCTTGCCGTTGAGGAGTCTTTTTGTACTTTACTGCTCTTCACTTTTGGTTTTTCCTTTTGTAACATTTTCCCCTTGACTGCTTTGATAATTTTCTTTGTTATCAGAGGTTTCTTCTTGTAGACTTTCTTTGTCACCTTTAACTTGACTAACTTTTTAGTTTTAGATGTAGTCGGAGCTACGGCACCAGAATCCTCTTCAGCCTTATCTGACGCTTCAGCTATATTTTCTTCAACTTTCTCGTTGGCCTTTTCTTCAGCTTCGGCATTTTCCATTGACTTTTTTATCTCTTCCGGTACTGGTTCTGTCAATTGCTCCTCTTTTCCATGTGAAGCCTCCTCCACCTTTGTTTCCTTTTCGTCGACCTCGCATGAAGTTTGTTTGCTCTTGAGACTTTCGTTAGTGCATTTGGTTTTGTGTTCTTCATCGGCGAATTCGCGTAGATTCTTCAAAGTAGGCAGATCCATTTTAATATTATCCTCCTCCTCAGAGCCTGAACGAAAGTCATAGATATCATTGGCAGCAGAACTGTTTGCTTTATCAGCTGCCAATTTTTGCGCAAATTTAGATTTCTTGCCTACCAACTTTGCAGTGGGGCTGGACTTCATCGGCGGCACTTTGTACTTGCTTTGTAATCTGTGCTTAATATTTGACATTTGCTTCTTTCCAATAAGTGGTGAGCACGGAGCAGAGCTCGTCGCCTTTTCAGTGGTTTCTTCCTGTTTGAGTGGCTCCTGTTTCACGTTCTCAACTTCCGCTTCTTGCAACTTAACATCTAGTTCTTCTTTCTTGTGCTCCACTTCTTTGGGCGCACTTGCACAAACCGGCATTTCTTCTATATCCATTTGCACTACTTCTGTATTAGCATCTAATACTATTCTTAGTGTTTCTTCTTTTTCTATTAGCTCTAAAGGTTCTACAACTGTCTTCTCAGTTTCTTGTATATTGCACTTGTCTGGATTCTTTGGATTCGTCTTCACTTTTTTCGGTGAGGGCGTCTTTTTAGGAGTTTTTTCAGCCTTTGTTTCTACGTTACCTTTGTCCGGTGGCTCAGGTGGCTCTACAGCCTTACAACTTTCCTTGCCTGACTTCTCTTCGGCTGGCATGCTTGTTCCGGCAGTTTCTTCCTTAATCTCCTCAGCGGATTTCTTTATTGGTTTAGCCTTAAGTAGTCTCTTCTTTAACGGCGTTCCAACTACGGCATCATTTATGGGATTGCCAGTTTGTTTCTGTGCTTTGGATTCATGATCGTTTGATTTTTGCGAAGGCGCTTTCTTGCTTTTTTGATTGACTTCGGTCTTATTGGCACGCTTTGCCGTAACCTTTTTTTTGGGTGCCATTTTGGCAGTAGTATTTTTAATTGTTTCACTGGGAGACACTTGAGATTCGCTACTCTTCGTAGTGTCTTCTTTAATAGGGACTAACGAATGCTTATTCGATTTTTGTGTCTCTTCATGTGTGACAGGAGATTCTTCTGTGTTTATGTTTGAGGTTTCCTTGTGAAGTTGTGCGGTGTCAAGTACTTTTTCTGTTTCTTTGGACTTTAAATCTTTTTCTTCCACTTTCTCCTTTTCTTTTTCTTTACCTTTGTCTTTTCCTTTTTCTTTAGATTTATCTTTCTCTTTATCTTTATCTTTATCCTTATCTTTCTCCTTGTCTTTGTCTTTCTCTTTTTCCTTTTCCTTTTCTTTAGCCTTCTCCCTTCTATCTTCCTCTTGTCGAGCTTTAATACGAGCTATATTTGATTTCGGCGGATTTAAGTTCGCTATCACTTTAACCGCAGCTGCACGTGACTTCGTCTTGACGTTCTCTGATATCGAGGACTTCAGCGTATCTTGTATACGTTCCTCGCTTGGCAGTATATTATGGAAACCGCTTATTTGTATATCGAGACTCTTGAGCATTTTACTTATTGCTTTGTTCTTCCCATCTTTACGATCCTCCACCTTGCTTTTGTTAGCATTGGCGGAAGTGGCGGATGTGCTTGGTGGTTCCGAATCAGCCTTTTGCTTCTCCGGCTCGACCTTTTTGTTAGCAGTGCAGGAAGACTTTTCTTTCGTCTCGGAAGTGTTAGATTTTTTCACATTCTCGCGAGAGGGCGTACGCTTCGTAGACTTAATTATATGCGCGGCACTACTTGCAGAATCTTCAGTTTGTTCGAGCTTAGTTTTCGCTTGATCCTTTGCTAAACTTTCTTCAGCAGTTCCAGCGTTGTCAATATTTTTGACCACCACGTAACCTTGATTCGTTTCAAGGTTTTCGGACACTTTGCTTTCACCCTCCGTTTTCTCTACGTTTTTATCTTTCTCTGCTGCCCTTTCTTTCTCGTGCTCTTTACTGATCACTGTTTGCTGTTTCTTAGCTGGAGACGGTGTACGACCGGGCGTACTACGCTTCACCGACGTCGCGTTGTTGGCAACGGCAATCGGTTTACGTGCCACTGGCGAACTGTGTGCTTTGCCCGGTGTCGGACGTTTTTTCGCCGACGCGACTGTGTTGCTCGACGAGCGTTGCTGACGCTCTGTAGTAGTGGCGCCAGCGGCGGCGGCAGCTGCTGTAATGAGACGCTTTTTAGGTCCCATTCCCCTGCAAAGAAAGTAAAGTTCTATTAAAAAAAGCGCTCACAATACAAAAACAAAAATTATTTGAAAAGAAATGCAGGAGATTTATCAAATACGGCGACAATTAAAGGACACTCACTAAACCTTATGCTAAAAGCATAGTTTTGATGCTCAATTGACTAATGGCTTAAGCACTCGCACGTGCTAAACACGTAGCGAAAACAGAAAATGCTATAAAAGAGCGGAGAGCGACAATATTCTGCAAGCAACACTTGGTGGCGTTTCGCAAATTAGAAATGCTTTTTTTAGCTACAGAAGAAATGAGCTGCATTTTTAGCTTCTTTTTTCACACGATTTACTGCTGTCGTCCATTTTTACGTCCATTCCGTTTCTATCAGCGCCTAATCGCCTCAATGGCACATTTTTGTCGGTAATTGTCAGCTGAACACTCGTTCATATGTAATAAAGCTCATACGCTCCGCGTCGATTTGTTAAGCTAACGAACGCTTAGTGAATTAAATTCCTACAAGCCAAAAACAACAGCAATAATAGCCATAACAGCTATAAAATGGCACACGTCGTAAAGGATTGTCAAGCAAAGTGTATTCATGAGCAGACTTCTAATGCCAGCCATGCTTGGCGAAAGGATGCAAAAATATATGGGAGCCATAAAAAAATAAGTGATGGCAGCAAATCAGCATATGTCAATACTTGAGCGCGACGACAGCGCATACAAGAGTTTTACAAATGCAACGTTGCATGCAAAATGAAGCAGCGCATTGGTGTGCAAGCAGTGCGGATAATGAATGTTGAGTAGCGTGAAAAAATAGCGCAAAAAGTAGCGTAAAAAATGCGCAGAACTGGAGCAGCGCGGCGGCGTTTGTAGAGGTACTAGGAGCCTACGCGGCACTACATGCAATACACGTCAACAATATTACACAAAGTCGCACTGCGTTTGGGGGTTTGGTGGTTGCTGGCTTGTGTTGAGTCCATAAACTGTCAACCGTGTAACCACAAGTGACATGTGAGTGCGGCACACAAGCAAGCGTACTATTAAGCCGCGGCAGTTGCGCGCACATACTCACGAAGTCTAAGCGAAGCGCGGCCGCTCGCCTATCTACTGTCTGCCGACTGTTGGTGACATGTTTCGCGCACTTAATCCACTTGTTAGACGGATTTGGAGCTTGCCTGTCGTTTGCTTGCGCCGCAAGCGTCTACTCCTCGCGCCAGTTGCTGTGTTATAAGCACTGTTTCACCCACTTTTCGCCACAACTTGCAAACGTTTCATTATTATTATTTTTTCTCTTGCTCAGCGCGTATCCTGTGTAGTTTGGATCGTTTGCTGTTTGTCGAGCGCTTGAGTTTTTGAGTATTTGAAAGCCAACACCAAGCGCACAAGCAACCCTCGCCACTGTCGCGTAGAGACAATGTCTGCTTTATGAGCTCACAATGGGGACACAAGGACTTGTGGGCAAGTGTATGCCGTGTAGTGCTCAACTTTCTGCCATGTGGCTGCTATTCGCCAAAGTCAGTTAGTTAGTTTTAGTCGCTGCACAAAACCTCGCGAATTAGTTGCAAGGATTTTGAAGAATTCGCGTTGCATTGTGTTGTGTGTGTTGAGTGCGTTGTTAATTGAAAGGCTTTGTAAATATTTGTATGAACGTATTATGTGCTCAGCAAAGTAATTTCAATATTGTGTGCAAGAAGAGTTCACATTATGCTGAAAATTGGGTTAATGGTGGGCAAAGCTCATTTGGGTGGGGCACACTCACCATTTAGTCGAGACGTATCATAAATTTTTAGAAAATGTTGCCTCACAGCCCATTCAGCAGTTCAGCAAGTTAATGCGTTGGTCTGTGGTCGGCTGAAATTTGGTTAGACTCTTGAGCTAGTTCTTTAGTGTTTCCGAGCTTGAATAGTGTTTATAATGTGGCTTGAAAAACTGGGAAACTTGGACTGTGAGTTTACATATTATTTAGTATATGATTATATGGCGGCCTAACGAGGGCGGTGGTAAATATTGACAAGTTTTCGCAGCGACGCCTGCCACGGTATAACTGAATCTAATGATAAAGATTTGTTAATTGAGTTCAGATGTCTTGAGTGGTCCGAAATTCTTAGTATTGTCATGGTACGTCTAAATGTCTGGCATACTTCTTATAAGCACTGTTGTACAGAACTAAGATAGCAGAAATTTGTATATGAAATACTAAGTTAGTAGCGAGCTTAAACACCTATGATTGTCAGTCGGCCAACAGAAGGCTAAGTAATGTCATCGGTTGACTGTACAGGGAAGATCTGTTCAGCGGATAAACTGAACACAGCAGAATCTTAAGGGACAAAAACTTGTCAAAGAACGTTACTGGTCCAGAAAATATACTTCTCTTCTTCTTTCTATACATTAATATCAAATATGAGAGCTTGGGATTCCATTTCATCATGCCGAAAAGTAGCTACAGACCCCCAGCGAAGCTCCGAAAAGTTTCTGTAAATTTATTTACCTAAAAATAAAAGCGCTAAGTCTTTTTTACTACACTCCTTTTTCCCCTTTTTGCTTTAAGCATTCGCGCTTACAATAAAAAGCATAAATGTAAAATTGAAAATGTAAAAATATAAAAAGCGCTTCGTAACAATTCAGAAAGACATTGCGCGCCTGTTTGCGCGCACAAAACTGCCAACGCACACACATACACGCAGATATGCGAGAGAAAAAGCGCGCACAAGAAAAAACTATCAGTGCAAAATAATCACAACAACAGCAAGCGCAACACGAAAACTGTATGCAACAACAAGACATAACGCCTGCAAGTATGCCATGAAAAGCAGTACGCGCGTTGTGGCATGCTAAAGTGTGCAGCGTAAACAGAAACGGATGGCGGCTGGCGGCAGCAACGCGCCATACAAGGGAAGTAAAAAGCGCGAAAAAGCCAACAACAGTGCAAACAAAAAGGAAACAGAAACGAAAATAAATGTATGCAGCGCAGCACGGCCGACGTTTGCATGTATGCACAACAACAGCAACAACAAAAAATTGTAACCAAAGCTGCAATGCATACAGTAAGCGGTGCGCACATGTTAACTGCATACATACATACATATATGTGTTGTAAGTGGCGGCATGTATTTGTCACGCATTGCGTTGCCTTTGTTTGTTTGTGTATTTGTATATTTGCTTGTTGGTTGCAGGCAAATAACAAATAAACGCAACAAAAACGTTTGCATGTGCGTATGTATATGCAATTGTGTGTGCGCGCCTTACAAAACGTTACTGCGTATGATACTTTGCGCTTGCAGTTATAAGTTTAACTGTTTGTGCGTGCGGTCATACATCCGCCGACGCTTCCGCACAACACAACAGCACTGTGAGCTCCGGTTCGTTGGCTGAACGAGAGTCCCAACACGCACGCCGCGCTATCGCCACCAAGCGCCACTCCAGCATCAGCATTACAGGCACGGCCGAGTACACGGCAGTTGCCCACTATTTTTTTTTATGCCGCACTTACAACACCAACAAATAACTAGCTGATTGTCAAGCTGTTTGTACACCCGCGCGCGCAAGCCCTTCAACATTTTAGCTTACGCGCAGCATACGCAGTCACTTCAACAAGCACTTTTTTTTGTTTGCATTTTTTCATAAGTATGTAAGCAGTTAAGTGCGGAGCATTTTCAACGCTCTGCGGATGCCCGATGTCAGACGTCGCACAACGCCACCGGAAATCCACACTCACTTGTGTACTCACCTCGGCGGCGCTCTGCGCACTTGCTTGCATGTCAGGCTGTCGCTCGAGGCGCAAGGAAGGATGCGAGTCTCTGCGCGACATACGTCATATGCTGCTGACAGCGAAAGCGACAACAAAAACAACAAAAGCTCGTAATGCTCCCTCACACCTATGAAATTCGACTATGAATTATGATTACGCCCGCACACTTGAGCAGCATCTATGGCGGTAATGACAGGCTCAGCGCATAACAAAGAGTTAAGTGTTGAGGGAGTTAGGCAGGTATAAGCGGTGGGTGTTGGCGCTTCCAAGTAATAGGTAGACAGGAAGTCGGTTAGCATCGTCAGCGATTATTAACGCTTCTTTTTCTTCTGCTTTATTCAATTTTCCTCTGCTGCTTTCTTGCACGTAATTACAGCTGGCATCTCCGCAGGCGTTGATAGTTACGCCAGGCGTACACGTTGACATTCCGTACTCCTGGGATGAATGCTGCGTATGTAGGTGCAAATTTTATGTGTACTTTCGCAGAAAGTCAACAGAGTTTCAAGAGAAAAGTGAGGTTAACACGAGTGGCTGATAAATGCGACGAAAGAAATAACTTCCTACGAGAAGAGGAAAGATTAGGTGGTATAAATTGATAAAACTGTGACGATTGACTAAAAATAGGTAACCGGGACATTACAAAAGCTTTATAAGTGCTTTTTATGCGGATAGTTCTTTTATATTGTGACTAACATGCTAAATCTAACATCGAAGCCTCGTCCAAATTAGTCTACAATACCTTTCAAGCGATTAAACCTCGAATAGTTTTGAGTGCCATCTAATCAATCTAGTTAGAATGTATCTCTGAAAGCTACATTCATATATGTTATGGCCTTCTCTTCGTTAACAATTTTAAACAAATCGGTAATACTTAGCTCTATATTAGGGTGGGTGAAATAAACGAATGTTTTGTTTTTGCTTCGTACTCTGAAAAATTGGTTGACAGACACTTCTAAAAAACGCTCACCAAGTATGAGCTGTTAAATGTAACGGGCAGGTTCTCCGCCTAACGGTTTTCTAATTTTCTCTACTTGAAAAATAATCTCGTTTCGTAGCTTAGATAGAATAGGAAATTGAATCGCTACAAAATGGCCCCTACGATTTTTTCGTAAACCTAACTGTTTAAAAGATATTAACAGTTGAGGTTTGACTATTTTAAGGCAAATTTGTTTTTTCTTTTTGAAGTTTATAACTCAATGAGAAAAGTCATTTTAAAATGCAAAGCTCATACTCTTATTGAAAATTTACTGCTCTGGCATACTTC